TGCGAGTTTCACACCATTTATAGGAAGAACGTTATTCATGATGGCTCTGTATTCCCCACCGAGCATGACCCCGCCACGCCCACAACGCATGACCACCACCGCATGTTCTCCTTTGCCCTTGATTGGCAAAGCGCCCCGGTGAATCGTCTCAGCGTGGCGAGGGTATTGGAGGGTGACGATTGGGAACGGGTGGCGCAGCGACTGGGCTGCAGCGTGGATGATCTCAAGGAGGCGAACCCGGCGATCGAGGGACTCGAGGCAGGTGCGGTTCTTAACGTTCCCGGCGGAGCCTCCCGTAGACTCACAAGCTTCGGTGCAGCCCCACGTGTGCTGCCACTTCAGAACCCCAACAATGGAAAACGCATCCGCAACTGGGAAGATGCCGCGACTGTCCTTGATTGCACCGTGGAAGAGCTACAGCAGGCAAATGGCCACGCTGCACTGACGTACAAGCAGACTGGCGAGAATGGCGAAGGCGAGTTTGGCCCATCCGTCACAGAGCTGAACGTCCCGCTCTCGTGCTGGGTGTCAACCCCTGAAACGGAGTTCAGCCCAGTCGAGCTTGTGTTCGCCGGTGACACATTCGCCACCATTGCACAGCGTCTGCGGTGCAGTGAGGAAGCTCTTAAAAAGGCAAATGATGGGCAGAGCGATCTGAGTCATGCTCGCTTTGTGCGTGTCCCGGCAGAGGCGAAAGCGCCAAGGCGATTATTGGAACCACAGTTGCGTTCGCAGGCTGCAACAGATGTGCTAATGACGCGAACCATTGCGGAGGAAGCGGCTTATGGAATCAAAAACATCCCCGATCTCCCATCCAACGCGAACAAGTTTCCGCACGAGTACCACACCCCAACCTCGCGCTTCCCGACAACACCAAAAGAAAAGGAGTCAGAAAGCGACTGGATGGCCTACACAGCAAGGTACCTTGACAAGCAGTTCACGCATACGACCGAACCCACACCGATCTACAATGTGAATAAACTCTGGCCCATGCAGCAGGTCCCTGGCAAAATAGACCAGACACCCTTCGAGGAGGATCAGACATGGCTACTGAATCCCATTCCTGTGCAGCAATTGGAACAACACCATCCTGAAAAGGACCTTCAAGACCTCCCATTTGTCAATCACGAACAGTTTCCACGCTCGCTGGAATGGACCGCACCCTAAAAACACAACATTGTTCACTCATTTTGGCACACGAAGCGCCACCACATAATAGTGTATGTTTCTCTGCTCCATTCTCTGTTTCCATGCCTTTCGTCTGAAAGATGAACTTTTCTCCTTTCACCTCTTCGGCCCCAATTCATTTAGCAAGTCAATGTTCCCGAGTGCACCACGCTCCCACCAAGGAAACTCGTGTGCGGTAAAGTACCGCAACATGATGCTGTACATCGCACAATGATTGTTTCACGCAGGGAACGCGCGGCGCAACCCAGCCGGGTTATTGTCGGAACATTTCCGCGTTCGGACGGCGCCGGCTGCGACGGGAAAGGTGGGTGCGCGAATATCCCAGCGTGCACCACGCTCCCCCCAGGGTAACTCGTGTGCGGTAAAGCACCGCAACATGATGCTGCACATCGCACAATGATTGTTTCACGCAGGGAACCACCGGCACCCGCCTTGGTTTGCCGCATTACGCAAAACACCACGCATTTATGTATGAAAAAAAAAGATTGTAAAATTTTGGGTTAGAAAAACGAAGCACAACCAAAAAAAAGGAAATTTCAAAAAAATCTAGGTAGGGGGGGTACCCCAAAAAAAAAATTAAAAAAAAAAAATAATAGCCTGAGTAGGGGAGCACCTTATGGGGGATGATAACCTTATGGGGGACGATAACCTTATGGGGGACGATAACCTTATGGGGGACGATAACCTTATGGGGGACGATAACCTTATGGGGGATGATAACCTTATGGGGGATGATAACCTTATGGGGGACGATAACCTTATGGGGGATGATAACCTTATGGGGGACGATAACCTTATGGGGGATGATAACCTTATGGGGGACGATAACCTTATGGGGGACGATAACCTTATGGGGGATGATAACCTTATGGGGGACGATAACCTTATGGGGGACGATAACCTTATGGGGGACGATAACCTTATGGGGGACGATAACCTTATGGGGGACGATAACCTTATGGGGGACGATAACCTTATGGGGGATGATAATCACCTTATGGGGGACGATAACCTTATGGGGGACGATAACCTTATGGGGGACGATAACCTTATGGGGGACGATAACCTTATGGGGGACGATAACCTTATGGGGGACGATAACCTTATGGGGGATGATAACCTTATGGGGGATGATAACCTTATGGGGGATGATAACCTTATGGGGGACGATAACCTTATGGGGGACGATAACCTTATGGGGGACGATAACCTTATGGGGGACGATAACCTTATGGGGGACGATAACCTTATGGGGGATGATAACCTTATGGGGGACGATAACCTTATGGGGGACGATAACCTTATGGGGGATGATAACCTTATGGGGGACGATAACCTTGTGGGGGACGATAACCTTATGGGGGATGATAACCTTATGGGGGACGATAACCTTATGGGGGACGATAACCTTATGGGGGATGATAACCTTATGGGGGACGATAACCTTATGGGGGACGATAACCTTATGGGGGACGATAACCTTATGGGGGACGATAACCTTATGGGGGATGATAACCTTATGGGGGACGATAACCTTA